ATCTTTCTTTCAGTGAAACCAATCCTTCTGTCTATCTAACTAATCTTTCTTTTCTTTTCTAACTAATCCATCTATCCGACTTCAAACTACTTTAAACTTCTTCAAACTCTCTGGTCCGGCTTTCTCAAGCCAACTTAAAGTTTGTCTCATCAAACTTTTTTTCTAGTTATTATTCTTCTTCTTATTCTTCTGACCCAAAATTTTCTGACTGCTACTCCTCCTAGAGTTTTAACTCTACAAACTCCAAACTCGGGTCAGACCTTCAGACTGTTCTGACTTAGTGTGCTATATCTTTTCAGACTGATTTGACTTTCAGATTTCTTAAAAATTAATATTAAAAATCATAAAAATCCCATTGACTTTCATTGCAACAGTTCAAATTGAGCCAAGACTACGGTGGCCCAGTAGTGCACAACATAAAAACTCAAATCTAAACTCCCTGAAGCCCTAGACTCAATTAAACTACCATTCTATATGTACTAATGAACTTATCTATCTATCTATCTATCTATCTATCTATCTATCTATCTATCTATCTATCTATCTATCTATCTATCTATCTATCTATCTATCTATCTATCTATATTTCTTTCTTTCTAACTAATCTATCTTTCTTTCTTTCTTTCTATCTAATCTATCTCTTTCTAACTGATCTATCTATCTTTCTTTCTAACTAATCTATCTTTAATCTTTTTAACTAATCTATCTTTCTTTCTTTCTAAGTAATCTATCTTTCTTTCTTTCTAAGTAATCTATCTATCTTTCTTTCTATCTAACTAATCTATCTTTTTTCTTTCTAACTAATCTTTCTTTCTAACTAATCTATCTATCTTTCTTTCTAACTAATCTTTTTTTTCTAACTAATCTATATTTTTTCTTTCTTTCTAACTAATCTATCTTTCTTTCTTTCCAAATTATCTATCTATCTTTCTTTCTTTCTTTCTAACTAATCTATCTTTCTTTCATTCTAACAAATCTATCTTTCTTTCTTTCTAACTAATCTATTTTTTTCTTTCTAACTAATCTATCTTTCTTTCTAACTAATCTATCTATCTTTCATTCTAACTTATCTATCTTTCTTTCTAACTAATCTATCTTTCTTTCTTTCTAACTACTCTATCTTTCTTTCATTCTAACTAATCTATCTTTCTTTCTAACTGATCTATCTTTCTTTCTAACTAATCTTTCTTTCTTTCTAACTACTCTATCTTTCTTTCTTTCTAACTAATCTATCTTTCTTTCTAACTAATCTTTCTTTCTTTCTTTCTAACTACTCTATCTTTCTTTCATTCTAACTAATCTATCTTTCTTTCTAACTAATCTTTCTTTCTTTCTAACTACTCTATCTTTCTTTCTTTCTAACTAATCTATCTTTCTTTCTAACTAATCTTTCTTTCTTTCTAACTACTCTATCTTTCTTTCATTCTAACTAATCTATCTTTCTTTATCTCTTTTTAAACTAATCTTTCTTTCTTTCTAACTAATCTATCTTTCTTTCTAACTAATCTTTCTTTCTTTCTAACTACTCTATCTTTCTTTCTTTCTTTCTAACTAATCTATCTTTCTTTCTAACTAATCTTTCTTTCTTTCATTCTAACTAATCTTCCTTTCTTTATCTCTTTTTAAACTAATCTTTCTTTCTTTCTAACTAATCTATCTTTCTTTCTAACTAATCTTTCTTTCTTTCTAACTACTCTATCTTTCTTTCATTCTAACTAATCTTCCTTTCTTTATCTCTTTTTAAACTAATCTTTCTTTCTTTCTAACTAATCTATCTTTCTTTCTAACTAATCTTTCTTTCTTTCTAACTACTCTATCTTTCTTTCTTTCTAACTAATCTATCTTTCTTTCTAACTAATCTTTCTTTCTTTCTAACTACTCTATCTTTCTTTCATTCTAACTAATCTATCTTTCTTTCTAACTAATCTATCTTTCTTTCTTTCTAACTAATCTATCTTTCTTTCTAACTAATCTATCTATCTTTCTAACTTATCTATCTATCTTTCTTTCTAACTTATCTATATTTCTTTCTAACTAATCTATCTTTCTTTCTTTCTAACTACTCTATCTTTCTTTCATTCTAACTAATCTATCTTTCTTTCTAACTAATCTTTCTTTCTTTCTTTCTAACTAATCTTTCTTTCTTTCTAACTAATCTATCTATCTTTTTTCTTTCTAACTAATCTATCTTTCTTTCTAACTAATCTATCTTTCTTTCTTTCTAACTAATCTTTCTTTCTTTCTTTCTAACTAATCTATCTTTCTTTCTAACTAATCTATCTTTCTTTCTTTCTAACTAATCTTTCTTTCTTTCTAACTAATCTATCTTTCTTTCTTTCTAACTAATCTATCTTTTTTCTTTCTGACTAACTCATCTATCTTTCTTTCTAACTAATCTATCTTTCTTTCTTTCTCACTAATCTATCTTTCTTTCATTCTAACAAATCTATCTATCTTTCCTTCTAACTAATCTATCTTTCTTTCTTTCTAATCTATCTTT